AATTAATTAATAGTTCTTTGTCCGTTAGCATGAATTTCTATATTGAATATGAACTCGGAATTTGTATAGCTCAAAGATAAAATTAAGTGCTCTATTAATTATTGCACAGGCTAAGCCACTGTGAAAAATCCTCTAAAATATAGTGGCTTAAACTTATTATGTAAGAATCTGAAAGTAGGTAGTCTAAATCTAATAAGGCAGTTTCATCTCAGTTAACAGCTTTAATTTATGGGGTCTGAGGTTCTACTGTCATTTTATCCTAGCAAAAGGAGGGAAAGATTGTCAAGGGAAGCCCAATTCCAATCCTATAATTGGCAAGACCCAGAAATGTCACAACTGACTTGTGGTCGTATCCCAGTGGACACTAAACACATGGCTATAGTCAATTGTAAGTGAAGGTGGAATTACAGCCTTTGTTATTGAGTGGCACAACTGGCTGGACCCCACAATTGCCAACAAAAACTGCTGAATTGCACCCTAATATCTCTCTTTTGGATATTTTGCATTAAAGTCAAAACATCTCACTTCAGCAGTTATTGTGCAAGTATTTTATTCTGTGAAATGTTTAGATAGCTTAATATAATTTTGTAGAGTATTCTTTCATGTATTCCTATATGTTAACCTCCATAACTTTTTTCACTTGACATTGTACTATAGAAATTAAAGTGGACTCATTCCAGTCATGAACTTGGCATCACAAATGGAATATACTGATGCAGTGGAAATGCATATAATGCAATTCATATCATATTATCATGTAATATAACTTTTCAGTATTAATATAAGTACAGGCACAGTTTATAACTGTTTAACATGATCAGTTCTTAGAAACATTTCTCTCTTTATCTTTCATATCCATAGTGTTATTTAATTAGAATTCCATTTTCTTTCTTATAATTCTCTTTTTGAATGTCCTAGTCCAGCACTGTTTAATAGAGCTTCCTGTGAAGACAGAAATGTTCTAGAACTACACTGCCCAATATGGCAGTTTTGGAAGCTTTTTAGGACTTATAATGTGAACAGTGTGACTAAAGAATTAAATTTTAAACTTTATTTTATTTTAATAAATTTAACTTTAAATTAATTCACGTGGCCTATAGTCGCCATATTAAACAGCACAGCCACTCCCTGCTCCATCTACAAACTTATTTCAACCACATCTATTCTACTGCATAATATTACTCCTGAAACATACTCAAATGAATTTAGCTAATCAACATTTATTATTTGGTGTTTTATTCTTTGAGGGAGAAATACTGTATTTTCAGTGTGACTTTAGCTTTAAATACATAAACACTATATAATATTTACTGAACACAATATGTGTCAGGCACTGTTCTGAGCACTGTATATGTAATATATCATTATCACAAGAAACTTACATTATAATTATCACCATTTTATTGATGCAAAAACTGACACAACCACAGGTTAATTAATTTTGCCTAGATCAAGTAGCTAGTAAATAGCTGAGCTAGAACGTAAACCCCAGGTAAACTGGCTTCAAATCTTAGGCTCTCACTCCATTTTTTACTCTTTCATCATTCTGGAAAAGTGAGGTTTTCATCAGTAGTTCTCTTATTCAAAATGCATCACAGTTGGGGCCTTTCTAAAAGCTTTAGATATGCATAATATCAGAAACTATTGCCTCTGACAAGAGGTAAGAGAAAAGAGCAGACAATTTCTTTTCCTTTTCTGCCCTATCATAATTCACTGAGCAACAGCTATGTTTGTAAAAAGATTATCTAAAATGTTCCCTAACTTGTCTTTACTAATTTGGCACTGGGATCTTATTTTATCAGAATGATACTAAATAAGTAAATATAAGTGATAATGAACAGGTGTTGTATGTTTGTTTCTATTACTACAAAAAGATTATTCATTTTTTTCTTCTCGGTAAACTAACGGAAAAGAATTCTAATATAGTTAGGATCAATTATTTTCAAAGGGCTATAATGTTCAGATTTAACTCAGGTTAATCATCTGCAAGTTAAAATTACTTAGAAGCATACTGTCCATAATTAAGTAATCTTACCTACTAATATTACAGAATAAGGATATCTTTAGATGACATGAAATCTGTCATTTTAAGCATGCCCCCAGGCCTTTTTCAGATTGCTCATGATTTCTCATTCTCTAGAGAAATGCGATCTCTAAGAAATAAATGTCTCTGTCAAGTCACAAGTAATATGAGCACATGATGAAAAAATGGGATGCTTTAGTCTCATAAGGGATATTGCAGTTTTGTAAAATTGACTTTATTCCTTGTTATTTAAGTTCTCATGATCATTTTAAGATTTACCTTCTAGATATAAAGGGAAAGTTATAATGCCTTTTAAGGATTTTAGGGAGGTGGGTGACAGAGGCCTTTGGGGACCAGGAGAATATTTTTCATATGAATTTCTTTGTCATAAAATGCTAATGTTGGTGTTCTTGTCTTTATGTCTATGCATTCTTTAGCTATGAGGATAACAGACCCTTCATCAAGTAAGAATGACCTGAATGGCTGATAAATTTCATTTATCAGTGTGGTCCCATGAAACAGCTATCAGATCAGTACTGAAAAATCATTAGAGCTTCTGTCATTCACATTGAGGCAGAAGAGCAAACTGTGCAGGAAAATAATCAGGCACACAACTTCTATGCAGAATAAATATGCTGCAGGTGTACTGCCAAAGAAATTCTGCTTCACTTCTTTAATTGGATATCATCTGATTTCAGTGCCACAGTTAATAGCAGCTTCATGTGGTACAGACTTGTTTCGCTTTTAGTAGCTTTCTCCTCTCATTGTGATGTGTTCCTCTGTGCTGCATAGTCTTCATTTCTGTTGTTTGTTTGGACATCATTCATCTAAAATTATTTTGTAATTTAGTAGTTTATCTTAAAAATGATCTATGGTTATGAAAGTGCCCAATTGCAATTGATATTAATGAACTTCTTTATTAAATTTCCAAAAAGAAAAATATACCTCCTTAAAAAATTAAATTTTACAAATGCAAAATTATATTTCAATTTGATATATATCACTTGATCAATGATCTAATTGTTTATGAATATATTTTTTAAATTTCTGAAGCAAAGCTACAAGTCTGTACTAATCAAATAAAAATAAACATAGATGTTAATATTTGAGCTTTTTTTCTTTGAACATTTTAAAGTTACATGTACTGCAACAATAAACGTAAAAATTGGCAACCTAATGGGTGACCTTGCTTTAGACTTTCAGTTTGTTCTTCTGGTGAAGAGTCCTTTGCTTTCATTTTTTTTTCCAATGCCATTTC